ACCCCCAACAACCCCACCACCAAAACCCCATCCCCCCAAACCCCTCACCTGCATGGCCAGGTCCTTGAACATCTCCGCGTACCCCTGCGCCTGGTCCACCGGCACAAAGGGGTGCAGGTTGGCCAGCTCGGGCCACGTGATGGGGATCATCTCGCTCGTCGCGTTGAGCTTCATGGTGCAGGAGCCGAGGGGGATCATAGAGTGCGCGAGGGAGAGGTCCCTGTTCTCCAGGCGCTTGAGGTAGCGCAGCATGTCGTGCTCACAATGGTAGCTGTTGAAGATGGGCTGCGGGGGTTTTGGGGGGGGGGTCCGCAAGGCAGGGGGAAGGCACAGCCGTTGGTTTTGGGGGGCTGGGGGCAGCTGAGGTTGTTAGGGGATCACTCATGGTTGGCGGAGGCGGATCGAACCCATCGGCCCGTCTTGAGGTGATGTAACTTCAGGGTGAGTCAGGGTCACATAACGGGGGGTGGAAAATCACCACCAGAGTCCGCCCGTTTGTTTGGAGGCAGGAGACGAGCGATAGGCGCGGAGCATTGCCGTCCAGCTGCACATGCCCCCTTGTGCAAAGGCCCAGAAGCGGCGCGCGGGCGCGCGCGCGCCCCCACCTGCGTCATGAACGAGCTGGTGCGCGCCAGCGGTGACCCCGGCGCGATGGCGGGCGCGGCGGCCGGCGCGAGGGAGGCGGCCGTGAAGCCCGGCGCCTGGCCGCCGTTGAGGATGGCAAACAGCAGGTCCAGGTCCGCCAGCTTGGTGGTCTCGTCGAACGAGATGCTCACGGTCTTGTCATCCAGCTTGCGCAGGTTGACCTGCGGTGGAGGGCATGAGGGGGTGAGGGGTGATCGACGCGTGTGTGGGTGTGGGGACCATGCAGGGGTCGACCAAGGTTTGATCAAACTGGGGTGACCAGGCAGAAACGCCGGTGCAGCACCGATTGCACCAACGATGTGGAGAGACGGCTGGCGGCCGCCGCGCGCCCACCTTGTGCTGCAGGGCAGTGGCGACGACCTTGTCGGCGCTGGGCACGGTGATGGCCACGGTGTCAAAGAACGGCGCCGCGCCCACCTGCGGGAACGCATCACACGTGAGGGTCCGTCGGTGAGGGCCGCAAACCCCTGCCCGGCAGCGCCACCTGCGGGCGACCTCCTGCCCCTGATCCTGCCACCGCTCCACCTTCCAGGCCCACACTTTGCGTACAGCTGCTGCCTCCCCCTCCCGGGCTGCCGCGTTGCCCACAGGGAGCTGCCTGCCCCTCTCCTCCTGCAGTGGGCCCGTCTGCTGCTCTCTTGTCTATCAAGCACCTCCCGAGCACACACACATGCGCACGCGCACTCCCACAGCGCGCCCTCTCCCATTGGCCCCCGCGCCACACCTGGAGGCCCAGCTTCTTGGCGCCTGCCGCCAGCGTGGAGGCGAGGCCGTGCACGCGGTCGGCGATCTCAGTGAGGCCCTTGGGGCCGTGGTACACGCCGTACAGCGCAGAGATGTTGGCCAGCAGGGCCTGGGGGGTGAAATCCGGGCAGAGGGGCGGTGGGGTGAATGTGAGAGGGTTGTGATAGGGCGTGACAGCGGCATGTGGGGCGTGGGACAGCGCATGGCAAGTTGCAGGGTATGGGTTGCTGGGCCGGCAGCGATATGGAGCTGGGGCCTTCGCAACCCTCGCTCCTGCCCTGGCCCGCAGGCCTGGGCCCGCAGCCCCAGGCGAACGCGCGCCGTACGCTGCGCCTCGCCAGCCCCTGCCCGGCCAGCCGCCTCCGACGCCCTCTTGCTCCCCCTGCCGCGCCAGCGCGCGCCCTGGCGGCCCCCCACGCCCCTGCGCGCGCACCTGCGCCGTGCAGATGTTGGACGTCGCCTTGTCGCGCCTGATGTGCTGCTCCCGCGTCTGCATCGCCATCCGCAGCGCCGGCTCGCCATTGGCGTCGATCGACACGCCGATGATGCGGCCGGGCATCAGGCGCTTGTACTCGTCGTGGCACGCCATGAACGCGGCGTGGGGGCCGCCGTAGCCCATGGGCACGCCGAAGCGCTGCGCGCTGCCGATGACAATGTCGGCGCCCCACTCGCCAGGGGGCGCAAGCTTGGTCAGGGCGAGGAGGTCGGTCGCGACGCACACCTGGGTGGGTGGCGGGCGGCGGGGTGGAAGGTGTGTGTGCTGAGGGACAAGCAGCAGAGGGAGGGTTCCCACGGGTCCGGAAGAAGCAAGGTTGGTCCCAAGGGATTCTGAGCACACATCTGCTTTGAGGGGCAGCTCTTTCCACGGGGCCTGGCGGGGAGCGCTCAGCATTTCACGCCCAGGCTGCTCGGCGCTTTCGCAGCAGCTGCTGCCCCACCAATTTCCGTGTCAGCCTCGCCAGCCGGCTGACGGCCGCTGCACTGCCGCCGCCCAAGTTTAAACCTGCATTGCCAAACAAGTACAGCCGCCTTGTGCACTGCCCCCCTCCCCTCTGAAAC